TGTTGGGTGTGTTTGGTGTGTTTGGTGTGTCTGGTGTGTCTGGTGTGGTTCCTCGGCCCTCACCTGTGTGTATCCTCCTGTGGGCTTTGAGGTGGGAGCTCTTGGTGTAAACTTTTTTACAGCCTTCATAGTCACACATGTGGATCCGCCGCCTCTTGAGGTCTAGTGTGTCAGGATCCACGGGCTCCAAGTCCATGACTGACCTAACACACAAACACAGACGGGTTACTGGTGCGAATCACACTCAGAGAGGATCCTGTGTGGTATTTGTCCACCAGCGTTAGTTCAGCCCCGACACTGGGACATTTTTCTGTTACGAGGCAGACGTGAAGCGCTAGCTGACTGTTTGAAGGTGTAGCAAACAAACATTCCAGAAATGTTGTGTCCACAATGAAGTTACTACATTACAGCTAGAAACAGCAACTTCAAATGGAACACTGAGTTGGAATTCCCCAAATGAGAATGAGAAAAAATCTGGATCAGGTCTATTTCAAGAGTGCACAAAGTGATCTGCAGCACAGCCCCAAAAAGGCCAAAGTAGTTGTATAAATGTAAATAAAAACCATTCTTAGTGATAGTTAAAAGGTCAGACATTTTGCTATTGCTTAGATCTAAATCTGATGGCTGCGTTGCTTTTCAGAAAAGCTGGATGGCCGCTACAAAAGTCTATAAAGTACGCAGACGACCATGTCACTTATCAAATTAAGTGTAAGAAGTTCCACACATGATTAGGCGTATAAAATATATATTTAGATAGATGCATATAAAGTAAATAAACTTAATAAACCTCATATGAGGACGCAGTCTCTCAGGGGGTTAAGCAACACTTTCCTTTAAGTCTTTTAAATTATTTCCTTTATACAAACACAAAATCTGACAGATTCAATGACAGATTCGATTTATCGTGTTAGCCCCTCTTTCCTCTATAATAATAATAAACTTTATTTCACAGAGCGCCTTTAGAAGCAGCTTCTCAAAGCGCTGTACACAGAACAACAAGCCACAGAAAAGTATGACGAGCAAGAGCTAGCAAAAAACAAAACAACAGCACTGAAAAAATTATATAAATCAATCCTAAAAACAACAGCAATCGAAAGCAAGTTTTAAAAAGAGGGTCTTAAGAAGAGCTTTAAAATGCCAAGACTCTGAGCCTCCCTGAGGTCAGGAGGAAGAAAGTTCCAGAGGGAGCAGAGACAGAAACGGCCCTATCGAGCTGTGTGTGAGGAACAGTTAGCCAGTGACACGGTGATGAGATTAATAGGACAGGTGAGTATTGTGGAGCCACGCTGTGTGAAACCTCCCCTGTCAACATCGTGATCTTATACTGGACCCAGATCCTGACCGGGGGCCAGTGTGAGGACCTCAGGACGGGGGTTATGTGGTGGAACGTTCCGGCTCCTGTCAGGATCCGGCCAGCAGAGTTCTGAACACGTTTGTGCGGTCAGAAACTGCAGCGGTCCAGCCGTGTGACAACCAATCAGTTAATCAGCTTTAACTCATTTTTCTGAGGTGGAAAAAGGACAATTCACAGTGCTCTGAACAAAAGAATTAAAGGCGAGGCTAGTGTCAAAGATAACACCAAGGTTCCTGCATTTAGTTCTAGAGCCATCAACAAACAGGGACAGGTAACGACAGGAGTTTATAAGATCCAGTGAATTATTTTTCATAGAGCTTATATACGCTGGTTCAGATATCTATAAATGTGATTTTGATGGTTTCTTTTTTATCAGTATTAAAACCTATAACTATAAAACTGTGGGAGGGGAAAAAAGAAAACACACTGATCCCCCAGTTCACGTAACAGGAGGTGTGACGGCAGACTGTGTGTAACTGTGTGTAACTGTGTGTAACTGTGTGTAACCGTGTTTACACCCAGCACTGCCCAACAACACAAGCACAGACACACAAGCCTTCTCTCCCACGCACACACACAAACAAAAGCCAACAAAGAATCTGCTTTATACAGATACAAAACGCAAACAGACACAATTTGTTCTCATTAAACAGTCTCTTTAACACACACACACTTTCCAGATTAGCAGAGCGAGCCCAGCCTGGATGACCACGCCCTGACCGTCAGCCCGGCCAGGCGGCTGCGCCCACTGGGTGTGGCCGGGGCCGTCCTGATTTACTCACAGACACACACCGGACACTCACACACACACACACGCTAACAGTCAGGTCCTAACAGCTCTGGAAGCTGTGAAAGTAAAACTCTCTCAAATTGTCAAACTTTCCCCTCAGAAAAGCAAATGTCCTTATTTCCCGGGTGCACGAGCCGCTACACTCGCTGTGTGTGTGTGTGTGTGTGTGTGTGTGTGTGTGTGTGTGTGTGTGT